CATCCACCTATCCATCCATCTATCTACCCATACAATAAATAATACCTCTTGAACTTGCAGTCTGTGCAAGCTGTGTTCTAGGGGTCAGGGTTAGGCAGGAGATGGCCCCCCGCCTGGCCCATCCAGGGAGAGAAGTTAGCCCAGAAACACAGCGTGGAGGAGAGCTGGGGAGCTGGTTCTGTGCGGTCAGAGACTCTCCCAAAGCAGGTCGCATTGCTTTGATGTGGCTTGCAAAGCCCAGAGCCACGGTGGGCAGGGTCCCGGGCATGCAGGCAGGGCCCGGGAGGCCCGCTGAAGAAAGCGGACTTCTTCAGGGCCCCTGGGATCCTGGACACAGAGGTCTGGAGAAACTTCCGGGAGCTCTTCCCACTGTGCTGGTGGGCACTTCCTGTCCCTCCCCCACTGCACTGCACTGGTGGGCACTTCCTGTCCCCCCTCCCACCACACTGCACTGGTGGGCACTTCCTGTCCCCCCTCCCACCACACTGCACTGGTGGGCACTTCCTGTTCCCCCCCCCCCACGCCTCTGCAGACCAGGCCTTCGCTTCACCTTGAGGCCAAGGTCAGGAGCTATGCTGGGTTTGGAAACCTAGGATTGTAGATACCTGCTTTCCACCCCCACCCCGTCCACACGCGCATGCACACAGCACGCACGGACACACACACGTGTACCTCACATTCACGTGCGCACCCGCGTTCCTTCTCTCTGGGCCCCGGTCGCCCTCGATTTTCCTTTGCTCCACCAGCAGGTGGGGTCTGCAGATCCCAGGACCGACACATCCTAAGAGCTGTGTCCTGTTCTAGATGATGACAATACACCACAACAGAAATCTGGGGAGGGAGGGGGCGAAATATGGCAGCTGCCCAGACCACACACGGGAAGACTGCAGGACCCAGGAACCCCACCCACGCTGCCCCGAAGAACAGAAGGCAGGAAGGCGTGCGGGCCCACATTCCAGGGCCCCGGTCACATGAGTGGACAGGCGGAGGAGGCGTGAGCAGCCCTTGCCGGATGAACGGGTACACAGAACTCGTACGCAGAGTGGAATATTACTCGGCTGTTAAGAGGGAGGGAATTGGAAGTCATGTGATCACCTGGCTGCCCCGTGCCAAGGTTTTGTGGGAGACAGTGACGTGGGCCCCCAAGAACAATGGGGGATGATCCACGTTAGAGTGAATTAGACTGTTCCAGAAAACCACGCAGACATCCAAGTACACAGCACAAAGAAAAGGTTTATTGCGGGGAAAGGGGCAGGGAGAGGTAGTGCTGGCTATTGTCTGAGGCGGTCTATCTAGGAGGTTTAGGAGGCGGAGGCCCTGGTGTGGACTTGAAGGCCAGGGGCTTCACCATGGTGGACTAGGATTCATGGCTGCCGCCCACCTAGTAGTAAGGAGCTTGCAGCTACCCCAACCTGAAGGTCACTCTAAGGGGCTCTTGCTGCTTTAGATGGGGGTAGCCGTCCCAGAGCAGTGCCATCCCAAGGTAGAGGGGGCTGGAGGCTGATTATTTACTGCCTTTACTACATGGGCCTGGTGTTGCTGGGAAGGGAGCACGCGAAGCTGTGGAAAGGAGCGTACTGGGCTACCATTCTGCCTATTGGCGGCCGCTAGAGGAGGGAAGCTCCCAGCCAGAGTGGTGAAAAGCATGGGTTTCACCCCAGCCCTTCCCCCGCCTCGGTTTCCTCCCCTCCCCAGGACGGAAGACTCCTCTTCCTTCCGCCTGGGAGGGTCCAGGTATTCCAGAGCATGGAGACAAAAACTCTCAAGGGGGATTCTTTGGGAAACCTGCTGCTCTGTGGCCCCAATACAGGAGCCCCAACCCCGGGAGGCTCCACAGCCACAGCTGACTCATTCACCCGCCACATGGCCAGAAACACGGGGCTAGGCCTTCTGTCTCTCCATCTCTCCCCTCCTTCCTCCCCTCCCTTTCTTCCTCCCTTCCTTCCAGCTTTCTTTGTGTGTGTCGATCCTAGAGCTTAGACTCAGGGCCTGGGCGCTCTCCCTGAACTTTTCCACCTCAAGGCTTGTGCTCTACCTCTTGAGCCACAGCTCCACTTCCAGCCATTTTGCTGGAGATAAGAGACTCATGGACTTTCCTGCCTGGGATGGCTTCAAACCACAATCCTCAGATCTCAGCCTCCAGAGTAACTCCTGGCCTGGTATTTTTCTTTTGCAGCCTCTAGTTCAGAATAGGCGTCAGGACAGAGATGACCAGCAAACGGAGCCTTTCTCTCCACCCACCCATCCATCCATCCATCCCCCACCCATCCACCCATCCATTTATTCACTCATCTGTTCATTCATCCACCCTCACACACATTCACCATACATCGTCTTTCTTTCCTCTGTCCAGCCAGGCCTTGACTGCTGGCTGGTGTTAGAGGCGTGCCTCGCCAGACCGGGCTGTGGGTTCTTCAGATCTCCAAGCCCTTGGCTTTTAGCGTGACCTGAGCCATTGGCTTGTTTAAACAACGAGCTGGGTGAAGCAGAGCCGGGGGCTGCTCCGGAGCGCGCCAGGCTCGGTGCACAGAGCAGGCTGGGCAGGCTGAATCCATGATAAGGCAGAGGCGAAGCGGGAGGCTCCGGTCCCGGGTCTCCCAGGAGGCTGAGTCATTTGGGATCCGGGAGGGTGGGTGGTAGGGGTCCGGGAAAGGGAGGCGCTGGGTCTTCCCTGGGTTTGATCCCAGGCTGGGGAGCGAGCTGTGGGGAGACTGCGGGGCGGCCTCGCGGAGCGGCACTGGGAGAGGAGCTCGGCAGCAGAGGGAGAAGAAACACGAAGTGAGCCAGCCTGGGACTGTTTGTTACGCAGCAGAGCTGGGCCGATGCACCCAGGAGAGGCGAGGCCCGGCAGCGGGGAGGACACCGCGCCATCGCTGCGGGGGAAGGGCACGGAATGGCCTCCAGGGCTTTTCCAGCATGGATCGAGGCCTCCCCCAGCCCCCAGCCTCTGACCCCCGCGGGGGGGCGGGGGTACCAGGCAGCACGCCATCGAGCTGGCCCTTGGAGCCCTTGGCTGTGTGACCCCAGAGCTTGGTTTGCCCTCTCTGAGGCCTCGCTGGCAGGTCATGGGGGTTGGAGGCTTTGGCGGGGGCACGTGTGCACCACTGGCCACCCTGAGTTGTCCTAGATTTGGGGGTCCCGCTGAGCCCCACATCTAGAATCAGCCCAGCTCCAGCCCTAGCACTGCCCCTGGCCGGGGGGGGGGAGGCCACCTCCCTGCATCAGCCCCCCATCGAGCCTCCTCCAGCCACACTGCCTGGCCCGGGCCTGGGGGCTGTGCACGGAGACCAGGCGCGGGTGAACACAGGTTCGCCCATTACCGGCACTGACACCACAGTGTGGAAGGCCTCCTGCCCGGCCGGGAGAAGGGCCCGCGGGACGCACCCCCGCTGAGGGCCTCTCCCACCTCACAGCTGGGCGACCGCAGTCCATCCAAACCCACCCGGGGCCGCCCGGCCCACCGAAGCACACAGCCAAGTGGGTGCGAGTCAGCTTCCCTGCTGGAGGTAGTCGCTGAGGTGTCCTGTTCCCTGGGGGTCTCCCGTGCCCCCCGCACCCGCCGCCACCGGAGGGACCCGGGGGGGGCTGACGGGGGCTCCGAGGGAGATCAAGGCCGCAACACACGCGGCTGGGCTCGAACCGGTAGGCAGACGGAGGTCCCTGAATGGGCTGGAAAAGTCAGCCCTCAGCCGCTGTCAGTCAGGCCCCCACGGTGTCCCCCCCCCGCCCCCACCGCCCCACGGGACGCAGAGGCTCCGCAGAGGCCGGGGATGGGGTGGGACCGGCCTCCACCCCGGCCCCCAGCCTCCCCCTCACTCCATCCCAGACCCGTCGGGTCCCGGGTCATCTCCCCACCACCCAGGCACCGTCCTGTCTCAGGCTTCCACCGGCTCTTTCTGGAATGTTCTGGAATGTTCTCCCCCTCCATCGTGTCTTGCGCCAAATGTCACCAGCACACCCCGCAACTGCTGCTCTTCCTCAGCACTGGGGACTTTCAAACCTACTTGGTCCAAACCTATGTGTTCGCGCTTCTCCCTCACCCCCACCCAAAGGCCAGGTCCTAGTACTCTGGGCCCAAGGCCTTGGACAGACACCCACCGCGGACATGGCGCCCAGCAGTGTTGGTGACGACAGAGATCCAGGAGAGGAAGACAGGTGCATGGGGGGAGGGGTGCGGGGAGCAGGATTAACGGATGGTGGACGGTGGACAGACAGGTGGATGGATGATGGATGGATGGGTGGATAGATGAGTAAGTGGATGGATGGTGGATGGTGGACAGATGGATGGATGATGGACAGATGGTGGATGGTGGACAGATGAGTGGATGGTGGACAGATGGATGGATGATGGACAGATGGTGTGGACAGATGAGTGAATGATGGACAGATGGTGGATGGTGGACAGATGGATGGATGATGGACAGATGGTGGATGGTGGACAGATGAGTGGATGGTGGACAGATGGATGGATGATGGACAGATGGTGGATGGTGGACAGATGAGTGAATGATGGACAGATGGTGGATGGTGGACAGATGGATGGATGATGGACAGATGGTGGATGGTGGACAGATGGATGGATGATGGGCAGATGGTGGATGGTGGACAGATGAGTGGATGATGGACAGATGGTGGATGATGGACAGATGGTGGATGGTGGACAGATGAGTAGAGGGAGGGCTGGCTAGATGACGGACAGACCGATGTGTGGGTCAGGAGCGGAGGCACAGACGTTCCGGTGGAGGGAGACAACGCTACAGACAGTCATGGCGGGAGACGCACGAGCCTTGCTGAGAACCGCTCCCCGGCGTCCACCCGGCCCTCTCCACGTGTGCTTGGGGGGGTCTCCGGACCCTCCAGCCCGGCCCAGGAGAAGAGACAGAGCGGCATGGCAGGGGGGGTGGGACCCCAGGCTTTATTGAGCAGGTTCTGGGCGGGGAGGAGGTGGGCGGGGCCCGGCCCGGGCGGCCCGCGGCTCCGTGCGGTGTGGTGCAGTTCGGCCCGGGCTCAGCTGCTGAGGAAGCAGCCCCGCTTGTGCCACTTCTGGTCCCGGATGCGGCGCACGGACTGCAGCTGCGGCTGGCCGGCCTCCCACTCGTTCCAGTGGCGCAGCTCGCCCCGCTCCAGCACGTACTGCCGCCCGCGGTAGCCGGGGAACTCGTAGCCGACCCACCTGCCGGGGGAGGCCGCACGGGGTTAGCCCCCAGCGCCCCCAGACACGGTGCCTCTGAGCCCTGGGATTCTGTTCCTTCTGCCGAGAACACGCATCCCTTCCACCACCTCCCTGCTGCCTTTTCCTTTCCATCCTCTGGTTTTGTTTCGTTTTGCTGGTCCTGGGGCTTGAACTCAGGGCCTGGGCGCTGTCCCCGAGAGTCTTAATGCTCAAGGCTAGCGCTCTACCAACTTGAGCCATTGCACCACTTCTGGATTTTTCTGAGTAGTTCATTGGACATAAGAAGCGTGTGGACTTTTCTGCCCCGGGGCTGGCTTTGAACCGCGATCCTCAGGTCGCAGCCTCCTGAGTAGCTAGGGTGACAGGCGTGAGCCACCGACACCTGGCCCTTTCCATGCTGCCTAATGCAGTTTTCTTGTCTCTTTCTCCACCTCCACCCCTAGGCTGAATCAAGCTCCCCTTGGGGTTCTCAGAACCCCGGGGTGTCCACACAACTACCCCGATCACAGTAAGCCTGGAACACATTGCCTCATCCAGCCCCAACACCAGGCCCACAGGACAGAGTTACTGAGCAGATGACCAGGGCCCAGCCCCAGGTGGCCGGCCCAGGAACCACGCCCAGCAACGTGACCCTAGGAGACATCACGCCTCGAAGGAGGGTGGTGGCAGCCTGTCCTGTGTCCTGCTCAGGTGATTGATAGCTGTCGATCTCCACGGGACCGTGGGTCACAGACCCTGCCAAGTGGGGGCTTTGTTGTTCTCAAAGTGCCGGGGATTGACCCCCAGGGCTTCTCACATGCTAAGGAAGCAATCTACCACTGGGCTACCCTCCACACGCTCTGGCTCTGTCATCTAAACTGGCCTGCGACTAGTGATTCTCCTGCCTCAGCTTCCCAAGGCCCAGGATGACAGGTGTGCACCACCCTACTTGTCCAACATGCAACATTCTGTTGAATGGAGAGTGTGGCTGGCAGGAAGGAGGCTGGGGCGGGGGAACACGTGGGGACGGGGTCCCTTACGTCCCATTGATGACGCGGATACTGGCCACGCGGTCCTGGAAGCCGTGAGCCCACAGGCTGGGCACGTCATCATCCACTATCTCCATCTTGCGGCCACTGAACGCTGGGTTCTCGAACAGGTGCAGCTTGTGATCCGGGCTGTCCTGGGGGCGAGATCAGATCCCGGGGAAGAAGGGCTGGGTCACCCCCAAACCCACTGCAGGAGGGAAGGGGGGGTCCCAGGAGACACCCTGAGAGCAGGCGCACCGGGAATCTCAGAGCCACAATAAGAGGGAAGGGGCCTCCGGGTCTCAACACAGAGAGGGAAACTGAGGCCCAGAGCAGGCGGCAGAAGACCATGATGTTGTAAATGATTGGTTTCCCGGCCCATCCCATTGCTCTCTAAGGGGATGGAGGGCTGGCCCGGGCCTGGCTGTGTGGCTTCCGGTGTGTGATTTGTTTTGTGTTGTTTTTGGTGGGTCGTGGGGCTTGAACTGGGGGATGGGGGCCCCACGGGGAGGGGTAGGGACCCCTGGGGTGGGACTTACGATGCTCAGCGGCCGGAGGGACAGCAGGCTGTCGCTGCGGTGGCTGTTGGACCAGGCGTCCCAGCGCGGGTAATCTCCCTTCTCCAGGACAAACTGCTCCCCGCGGAAGGCCCTGCGCTCGAACGCCAGCCACCTGCCGGGGGACAGGCAGCGGCTGGGCGTAGGGGACCAGGCCTAAGGGGAGACCCCACCCTCCCCCCTTTTTTTGCCAGTCCTGGGGTTTGAACTCAGGGCCTGGGCGCCGTCCCTGAGTCTTTTTGTTCCCCAGACTAGCACTCTACTACTTGAGCTGCAGCGCCACTGCCAGATTTTTCTGAGTAGTGTACTGCAGATAAGAGTCTCGTGGAGGGCTGGGAAGGTGGCTCAGTGGTACAGTGCTTGCCTCGCATGCATGAGGCCCTGGGTTCGATTCCTCAGCACCACATAAGCAAAAAGAAAAAAGCCAGAAGTGGTGCTGTGGCTCAAGTG